AGACGCCCCTCCAACCTTTCCCTTTGCTGCATTGTCGTCTCCCTGCTTTACTTGCAAGAAACTCAGAGCTCAAGCGTTTAATTTATACACTCCTCCCACCTCACTCCCCACTCCCAAGCCCTGATGGAGGCCACAGTGAAATTTACAGAGCACATAATTAACACCAGGTCCCTGGCAGTGCGAGGTCACCAGTTAGGTCAGGCCTTGCATGCGGTGGATCAGAAACTGAATGGCAAGGGCAGGACACCAAGGAAGGCAGCTGGTCAGCTGGATGGGAAGTTGGGTTTGTACTAGGGAGGATCAGAGGAGAGCAAGGCTCCAGTATGAAATACGGCCACACTCATCTCTCTCTTCCTTGCCTCCTCTTCTCTCCCAGGATTGTGGCCACATTGTTTTTGAAGGCATGCTTTTACCTAGTCGAGCAGCCTTCCCCAATCTGATGTGTTGGGCCACATGTCTCAGCCACGGTGGCTGTGCTGGCTGGGACGAATGGGAGTTTTAGTCCAAAACATCTGGAAGACACTAGGTAGGGCTTTAACAGACGACAGTAGGTCTGCCAATTGTTTGGTTTCCCCTCTGCAATCGGAGGCAGCCTCTGAAGAGCAGCTGCTGGGCATCGCAAGCAGAGAACGTTGCTGTTGTGCTCAGGTCCTGGTTGTGGGCTCCTTATGTGACAACAGTCTGCAGGACTAAATGGTCTCCTGGCTTGATCCAGCCAGGCTTATCTTTCATTCTTAGTAAGAGTGGAGAAAGTGGATGCAGAGATACTAGAACTACGGAGCATTTGATGAAGAAGAACGTTGGAAGATTCCAGACAAAATCTTTCTTCACACAGTGTGTAGTTAAACTATGGAATTAGCTCCCACAGGGGTGGCTGCCATTTTGGATTAGACAAATTCACGGAGAAGAAGGTTACTAGCCACAATGCCTTTGTTCTCCCTACACCAGAACATTCCAAACTTTTCCTGTTGGTGACACACTTTTTAGACATGCATCATTTCGTGACGCAGTAATTCAGTTTTACTAACAAACTGGAGGTTAAACTAACCCTTTTTGAGCCCCCGGAGGAGCACGGGCAACGTTTGCGTGACACACCTACACACTGCAGCCGACACATGAATGTGTTGCAACACACAGTTTGGAAAGCTCTGTCCTACACTGTTAGAAGCCGTATGCCCCTGAATGCCAGTTGCTGGGAATCACAAGTGGGGAGTGTTGCCGCTGTTGTGCTCAGCTCCTGCTTGCAGGCTTGCCATGGGGCTCAGCATGACCACTGTGAAAACAGGATGCTCAACTAGATGCGCCTTTAGAATACGTTATGCGGAAGGTGGGAGTAGAGAAAAACAAAGAGCCGAATCTGAAGCATCTCTCTCACAACACACTGCAGGCGAGTTCCCACAACACGGCAGCCGGATGGTGCTGACTGAATTTGCACCTCCTCGCACAGAAGCACTGGCTCACGCTCTTTGTGAGCTGTTAAATGCGTTTTCACGCAAGAGACTTAAAGCGCGTTTGAGCCTCTGGCGTGGTATTTGTTCAAGCGGGAGAGAATGTGGAAGAGGCAGTGGGCTTCACAGTTGGGTTACAGAAAGCGGCAACAAAACATTTGAGAGTCTGACTTAGGCCCTGCAGAATCCGTGGAGGGTTTGTGTGCGTGCGCATGTGTGTGTCCACACACAAATCCAAACACAAAAGGATCCTCTCTTGATCTCAGGATCTGGGAGCATAGCTCTTCCCGCTGATTGTGAGGCAGACAACGTGTGTGTATTTCTTTTCCAGATAGATTGAAGGCGGCACAGCAAAGGAATCATAGTGTGTTGCACACTCATTTGTTTTCTATCCTCTGAATTGTTGTCTGCCATTGGATAGGGATTTTTTTCTTCTAGGTTTCTGAAGCACCACACACACACACACACACACACAAATATGCACACAGGTCCATAAGGCCTGTGAATGGGAACAACAGCAAGATAATGCACACAAAACATATGCAGAATGTTTCTTCCATGTTTTATACCAACTATTCTTCATCAATTAATGAGAAAATAATTTGCATTCAGAAATTTTTAAAGAGGAAGAGAAATTCCAGTGAAATTCTTATGGGCAGGGCGTAAGTTTTCCCCACGTACCTTATTTTTGGGGTGGCCAAGGGGTCTTGTGGATGTCTTCTCTTTCAACCCACAAGTCATTTCTCCAGTGGTCTGAATTCTGTAGCTTTCCAAAATGGCTGCACTTTTTTCAAAACTTATGGTACGCTTGGCTAGGCTTTTCTGTAAGTGTTGAAAGTCAGGGAGGCTGCTTTATATATGCCTAACAGCTGTTTCTTTCTTTCTAGAAAACATTATGGGCATACTATTAGTTTTAAGGTAAAAGGGATAACTTCCCTATAAAACAAAATCAGTGAGCCCACCCATTTTGGGGTTGTATACAATGTGAATCATACTCAGAGTAGCCCCACTGAATTTGATCAGTGTGATTAGGTTCCCATCTGTGCTCTCTATACCACTTTAAACGTTCACGGCTTCCCCCAAAGAATCCTGGGAGGGGCAGCTTGTTTAGGGTGCTGAGAGTTGTTTGAGGACCACTATTCTTCCAGAATAATTATTAGAGTTGTTTAACAACCAGTCCCTCATCCCAGGGAACTCTGGGAATTCTAGCTCTGGGAGAGGAATAACAACAGAAAACTGTTTCTTGTTTTTCTTAAGTCTTTTATTTTTAATTGCTGCTGCAAGGGGCAACAACAGCAACTGTCTCAGCAGCCTGGCCAATATTTTGCATCCTGCACAATGCCCCAGATTTAACATCTTTAAGAGGAACTGAGTGTGTTTTTGTGAAGGGGACTCACAGCCGCCCACCACACACACACACACACACACAATGATGAAGAGTATTTGGAGAAAATTCAGCAAATTGGGTTTCTTTTTCTGGGCTGGGGAGTTGAGAAAAGAAAGTTCCCAGATTCCCCCCCCCCAAAAAAAAACCCCCAACAACAACAACACTGAAATATTTTCACTCAAGTCTAGTCTTAACTGTGCGATTTTCAAGCTTCTTGGGGGTGGGAACCTCACTCTATTTCGACATTCCTTCTTGTAGTTTAAATTATCACACGCCACATATGTGCACAGAGATAGATTGATCAGCAAGTGGATAACTAGATGGAGACTGATCACTGGCATGTGGGATCAATTCTGAGGTCTGCCATTGACCTTCCCAGTGGCACTTGACCCTCAGTGACCCTTCCTCTCTGTAGGTCTCTGTATATGTATATATTCTGCATCCCTTTCTTTGTGTCTTTGAGTTCCCTCGCTATGCACACCCACTGCCCCAGGGTAGGATCCTACCATAATGCACTTAAACAGTACCCTTTTGTAAACCATTGAGATGCCTTTCCCAAGGCACAGCTCTTATATATGTAAATGTGAGGGCTGAAGAGAGCTGCATGCTCTCCTCCTCTCCCTCCTCTATTTATATGCCACTTTCAATGTACATTGCACTGAACAAAGTAACATAAGCTAAAAAGAGCAAGCCAAATAATTCAAGAACATAAGAGCCTGATTGCTGGATCAGGCCAAAGACCCATCCAGCGTTCTGTTCTCACAGTGGCCAACCAGAAACCTCAGTGGGGAGCCTGCAAACAGGACCTGAGCGGTCCCAATCCATGGAGTGCTCCAAATAACAGTATTTATTTACATGCAGCATTATCCAGGTGATATCAAGCTTGCAAGCTATTTATCTATCTATCTTTTGAGAAATGCAGAGCGGAGGAAGATTGCAGAGGGCAGAGAAGGGCCGGCAAGGGGAGATAGCATTAAGAAGGCAGTTACAGTTGAAACACTTCTAGATCTGCATATTTAAGAATACAGGGGGCTCCTCGTTTCCTTGGGCATTTGCTGCTGTGAACTTTGTAGAATTTTGAACACTCAGGAATTTGGAGCATGAAGTGGAGAAACATAAATTCTTCCTTCTGTGCAACTCTTATATAGCAATAAAATGGTTTCCGTGTCTCTCTTGGTCTCTCTTGGTGCCCCCTAGAACTACTTCCCTCCGTAAAGCACTATACGGAATACTTTGGTTCCCACTTGGTGTTGTCAGTGCTATGCGAGTGATATGAAAGGTCCCCAAATCAGGCTGGGGTGGGCTGAACTGAAAGGGAAGATCTTTCAGTCTTCAGTGCCTGGACGGCTTCCATATCTCAAAAGGTGCCTCTCCCCTTATATACGCCCACAGGCAGGGTGGCCTTTTACTGTTAGAACAGTGATGGTGCAACATTTTAAATGTACTTTTAAGGGGCCTGTAATGGAAAGTTTGGTTTTCCTCTGATGCTTGCCTGGTTTGATTTCGCTCCAATGGGTGTGGCTTTTATTTGTTCTACTAATCCTGATAGGCATGCCACCTGTCCTGTATAATATAGTTTTGCCATGTATTTCAAGTCTTCTCTCTCTCTCTCTCTCTCTCTCTCTCTCTCTGCCAAGTTAGGGATCCTCTCCAAGCGCATGTGCTTGAAACGGCATGTGAAATGGCATGTATTTAAACTCTGGGTAGCCAAAAACAGACAGTTTTCTAAATTCGTGTGTGTGTGTGCATGTGTGACAAATTCCAGAGGGGGTATCCTGATAGGCTGCAATAGATAGAAATGGATTACTCTGAAGTCACTTCACTACCAGATTGGGGGGGGGGGGAATGCCCCCCTTACCCCCAACCTGTATTTTGCCAGAACAAAGTTGGTGTCTATGTTCTACCACCACTTGTTGAGTCATGATGCCTCTGAACACCAGCTACTGGAGATTGCAGGCAGGGGGAGTTGCTGTTGGGCTCAGATCTTGCTTGTGGGCTTCCCCACATGCACCTGGTGGACCACAGTGAGAACAGGATGCTGGGCGAGATGAGCCCACCGGGTGCTATCCAGCAGGACTCTTCTCATGTTCTGTGGGTGTGCCAGCAGGAGTGCAGAGAATGCTTTGTGAGCTGCTCTGCTTCGCTGCAAGATATCTCTGCATCTGTGGGTGGTTTCTAGTGAACGGAAAGGCCATTTATGAACCCACTTGTCTTTGTTGGCTGCAAACCTGAAAGTGGAGCCCATTGGGGCACAGAAACACTAACGGAGGTCTCTGCCCTCGGAACCCACAGGCAAAGAAGAGGAAATACTATAGATGTGATGGAGCTGAGTGTTTAATTATTTAAATATTTATTAAACCACACTTCCACATAAAGTATCATAGGGAAGGATAGAGGTTTTAAAACCACAGTACGACTATCAAAACATTACATGCATCAAACAACTGGCAAATAATCTCAGGCTCGGAACGCCTGTCTGAATAATGCGGTTTTTAGAAGATGTCTGAAATGTGGGAATTAGATTCTAGTTCCCATAAGTATCACCTGCCTGTCTTGTATGTTTAATCTAACAAGTGCAAGTATGCCTAGGAAAAGTTATCTGTTATTTAAACTTTAAAAGAAGAGTGTCTTGCATAATTTTTATAGGAGGGAAAAGGGAACTAATTACAGGGTTCCTTTTGCTTACTTCTGTAAATGGGAACTGGAATCTTAATTCCCACATTTAAGATGATGTCTAAAAGCACGCTGCAACGGCTCCACTATTGGCCGGGAGTTCCACAGGGCAGGGGCTGCCACAGCAAAGGCTTGAGCCCTGGTAGAGGCCAGCCAAACCTCAGGGGGATGTGGGGAACCATCAGGAGTGCCCCATCAGATGGCCCCAGCTATCAAGGAAGAGCAGAGAGAATCAGGCAACCCTTAAGATACTATAGGTATCCTTAAGGTTAATGTCCTTGCAACTTTGGGCGTTAATACAATAAACCTGAACCTGAGGTTATGGAATTTGCTTCCCAGTGAGGACGCTCTCCATAATGCCTGCATTTTCTCTTGAAGTTAAGCAGAGACGTGATGGTCACCTTTGGGGAATGCTGTAGTCACAGGTTTCATGCATGAGCAGGGAGGGGCATGGACTAGATGACTCTTGGGGCACCTCACAGCTATGGTTTTGTTGCGCCTTATATATTCAGGACGCGAGTGGCGCAGTGGGTTAAACCACAGAGCCTAGGACTTGCTAATCAGAAGGTCAACAGTTTGAATCCCTGTGACGGGGTGAGCTCCCATTGCTTGGTCCCTGCTCCTGCCAACCTAGCAGTTCGAAAGCACATCAAAGTGCAAGTAGATAAATAGGTACTGCTTCAGCGGGAAAGGAAACGTTTCTGTGCGCTGCTCTGGTTCGCCAGAAGCAGCTTAGTCATGCTGGCCACATGACCTGGAAGCTGTCTGCAGACAAAAGCCGGCTCCCTCGGCCAATAAAGCGAGATGAGCGCCGCAACCCCAGAGTCAGTTACAACTGGACCTAATGGTCAGGGTTCCCTTTACCTTTACCTATTTATTCAGAAAGTCGGACAGTTTTTATGCTCAAGTATGCATTTCAGGATATTTCGTTGACAGCAATAAAAAGGGGGCATGTATCCTGCTAAGTTCTGCTCAACAGACCAAGTGAAAATAATTCATCTCAGCAATGTCCATTAGTTTCAATGGGTCTATTCTGAGTAGGACAAATGTTGGGTACAACCCAGGGTCTTTTTGTCATTGATAATGGGTCTGGATTAGAATGAAAAAGGGAAAAAAGATGTGGAGTAGAATGGGGGGGGGGGAGAGAGAAACAATTTCAGAGGATGCTGCTTTCAGTGCAAGATCCAGCAAGCTCTGGATAACAGCCCTTCTTTTCTGGTACATATCCCTGGGAGCTCACCAAAGGTTGATAGGAAAATCATTTATTTTGTCCACATTTTTGCCTTTTGTGGATGGCTTTATTAAATGTTTGAGTGTGAAACTGCTTGTATCGTCATCCTTCTGGGTTTGGTCCCCACCTTAAACTCTATAGAAATTACCGGTAAATCCCTAGGTAGGGTACATCTTGTATTTGGCACATCCATGTATTTAAATGTTAGCAAATGACCACTAAAGTACCACACAGTGAATAGACTTCCATTTCATACACTGCAGCTGCCGAGAGAGATGTTTTGAGCTGTTGATAGCAGCACATTACATGACAATTGCGTTTTTCATCCATATCTTTAACCAAAAGAACAAGCACTCTTGGCTTTGAAAATGAGTGGCAGGCAGGCTAGCAGCAGAGTAAATGAAGGCAGCACCCAGCCATTCTCCAAAGAGCCTTAAACAAATCTTCCCAGTGGGAGGAGAATCTAAGAATCCAGCCTGTTAAACCAGGCACAGAACCGAGGCTTTATTTTTGACTGCTTTTCTATTGTCTTTGTCTTAGTCCACCCACAGCCAAATCATATTTTCCCTCTCATTGCAACTTGGCAAAAATAGCAGCCCTTACTGTCATAAGAAAATAAGAAAAGCCTTGCTGGATCAGGCCAGTAGCCCAATTAGTCCAGCATCCTGTTCTCACCAGCTAGATGCCTCTGGAAAACCTGCAATCAGGACCTGAGCACAAGACCACTCTCCCCAGAACATGGCGAGCTCAAGACGTTTTGCTGTCTGAAGCAAAGGACAAAATGGTACCCTCTCCCATGGCACATGCAGAAGCCAGTTTGACTGGTAGCTGAATTTTGCTCTAAAACTAGTGAAAGGACAATGTCTTCCACTGCACTTGAGGGCAGCAGGCTAGTGTTAGGGGTACAGGGCAGGCCTCACTGTACTCACTGTTAATTTAAGCAGAGTCTGGTGCCCAGCGGAAGGATGAGGAATACGTGCTGCATACTCTATATTGCTTTATTTACAGTTCAAAGCTGGTATATTACAGAAAGACATCTTGCCTCTGCCGGAGCAGAAAATGCATCCTCTCTCCTCGACAGCTCGGAGAGAATCACACAGTGAAAACAGGAAACCAGTGTACGTCACATCCAGTCTCCCTTTCCCGTGAGAAACTCCAACAGTACAGACTGTGGAATGTAAACACCTGTCTCGTGACAAGCAGAGCTGCACAGTGAAGGAAAGCAGAAACCAACATCCTCCCCTTTCTGTGAACATCACTGGGCAGCGTGTTCGTACAGTATCAGTACAAACCCAACTTCTGCACATAGGTACAGTGTTGATCCCTTGATACAATCTTGGACAATACATCAGCAGGAATTTCATTACCTGGCATATAGGACACCGTTACGAGTCCCTTCTGAATACATTCCCTAGCATGCTGCAACTTTAATTGCAAGTGCTTTGTGCTTTGCTTACAACCTTCAGACTTCAGCAAAGCCAAACATGCTTTGTTGTCCTGGTAAACCTGGATTGGACATTTGACAGGAATTTTCATATCTTTGCACAATTGTACTAACCATTCACAATCCTTAAGTGAATAAGACAGTGCATTCAGTTCGGCTTCACAAGTACTTAAGCTAACTGTTGTTTGCTTCTTGCATGACCAATCAAACAGACTCTGATTGTACATGTAGCAAACTCCAGACGTACTTTTCCTGTCTGTAGTGTCACTTCCAAAACTTGCATCTGCAAATATCTCAAGACCACCAGACTTCTGATTGTTAAATCTCAGTCTGTAATGCATAGTGCCTTTCAAATACCGCGCTATGCGTTTCAGAGCTTTCCAATCCTTGACACTAGGATTGTTGACTTGTCTGCTTAGCAAATTACAGCTAACAGCAATGTCTGGTCTTGAACATCTGGCAATGAAGTTTAGCTTGCCTAGCACACTCCTGTACAGTGTAGTGTCAGAAAATGCTTCTTCAGTGTCATCTACCTGATAACCTGTTGTCATCGGTGTGTCTACAGGGTTAGCATCCATCAGATTTAGTTTGCTTAACACATCAGCAATTTTCCGTGACTGGTGTACTAGAATGTTACCATCTTGATCTCTCTCTATTTCCAGAGATAGGTAGTTGTTTACCTCACCAAGATCTTTCATGTCAAAGTGCTCTTTCAGTTGAGCTTGTGCGATATTGTACTTTGCAACATATTTACTAAGGAATAATAAATCATCAACATAAAACAAACAGTACAGTTTATTTTGCCCCTCCTCTTTCAAAAAAACACATGGATCATCTTCCCTTGCTGAAAACCTAGATAAAACAATACTTCAGTGAGTTTTGTGTGCCAACACCGTGCACTTTGTTTGAGACCATAAAGGGATTTCTTCAGAGCACAAACAAATCCCTGTTTTACCTGTACGCCATCAGGTGGAAGCATATAAAGTGATTCATCTAGAGATCCGTACAGAAAAGCTGTATTAATATCATGGTGACTAATGTGTAGATTTTCCTCTGCAGCTAGCTTGAGCATAAGCCTAATGCTTTCATATCTCACTGTGGGTGAATAGGTCTCGTGATAGTCTTGACCTGGTACCTGTGCAAAACCTCTGGCTACCAATCTGGCTTTGTGTCTGACTATCTTGCCATTTTGATCTGTCTTCGCTTTGAAGACCCATTTGCTTCCAAGCAGTTTCATTCCTGGAACTACTGGAACTAGCTCCCATGTTTTGTTCCTTTCTAAGGAATCAAGCTCAGCCTTCATGGCATTTAACCATGGCTCAGCTTCCTTTGAATCCAAACCCTGGATTTCTTGGAAACTTGAAGGTTCAAATACCTTCTTGGAGCTTTTAACAGCTGTTACTGCTATCTTAGCAAACTCATCAGCAAATCTCTTTGGAGGTTTGCCTTTTGTGGCTCTCTGTGACCTACGAATTAGCCTTAAGTCTTCAACACTCTCCTCTTCCTTCTTAGGAGAAAACGACCTATTGTGAACAATGGTTCCTCCAATTCTTGATCAGAGCTTTCAGAGGGTCGCATAGAGGCTTTCGCACTCTCGAAATCCTCTGAATCACCCGATTCAGTTTCAGATTCAGACTCAGAACCTTCATCAGTGGGTGTGGGCTGTTGTGGTTGCTTTTGACTATCCTCAGTCTCATCACCGTCATCAGGATAACATTGGAAAATTCCCACATTCTCCCCCACTTTGCATTGTACTCAACACTTCTCGTGAGCTTAATTGTCTTAGAGTCAGTCATCATTATTCTGTAAGACCCTTTCTGATAACCTAGAAAGATACCATGCAATCCACGCTTGTCTAACTTGGAGTTTTGTGGTGAGCGAACCCACATGTCAGAACCAAAAATCTTCATGTGTTTGATGTATGGCTTCTTGCCAAACATCTTCTCATAGGGGGTACAACCAATCGCTGAAGATAACCTGCGATTGTAACTGTAAACAAAACACGAGAGAGATTCGGCCCAATAACTCTCTGGAAGATTGGCATCATGCAGCAAGGTTTTTAATCCTTGAAGCAATGTCTGATTTGCCCGTTCCGCAAGTCCATTCTGCCATGGCGAGCGAGGACTAGACAAATCGTGTTGAATTCCTTTCTCAGTCAGAAAAGCTTCAAACTGCTGAGAAGTGAATTCCCCCCCGCGATCACTGAAAAGAGTCTTTATCTTCTTACCATGCACATTTTCCAACCAAGCACAGAATTCCTTGAACCTAGGAAAAGCCTCCGATTTCTGCTTGAGATTGTACACAAAAATATATCTAGAAAATGCATCAATGAGAACCATGAAGTATCTATTTCCACCCAAAGAGGGCGCTAGTGGTCCAACCAAATCAGCATGAACAACCTGGTATGGTTCTGTAGCTTTCCTACTAGACACCTTACCTTTCGCAGCCATTTTCACCTTGTTTGCTGCGCATGCTTTGCACTTCATGTGGTACCTGCAGGGTTTAATAGTCATACCTTCAACCAAGGCAGGCATTTTAGATACTGCCTCAAAATGCAAATGACCAAATTTTCGATGAAAATCGTGAATACATTCTGCATGCAAACTTTTGTTAGAACCTGCAATGCAACAAGTGTCATCCTGCACCACATCATCATAATACAAAACAAACAAATGATCAACATATTCTGCATGCAATACATAATCATTTTTCTTTGTGATGATGCACTTCTTGTTCTTGAAGGAAACGTCAATGTTCCGCTCATTCAGCTGTCCAACGCTGAGCAGATTATGTTTGGCGTCTGGCACGTAAAGCAC